TGTATCTTTGAGTGTGTAATTTTGTAATGCTATCCAAGTACAATTTATTGCTGTATATATACGTTTGATTTTTCCCCCCTACGATTGCTGTGCTTCTGGCTGCCACGGAATATATTTCCCCGATTCCAATTTGGACTTCTTCCTCTAGTTGGCTGGGTCTGGGACGCGTCAGAATAGCTAGCTTATCGGTCTCTGGTCACAATTCTTTCTTCCGTTCGCTAAATAGTGAATTCGAATCGCTTCGGATATAACAGATTGAGATGAACATAGTGTGATCATTAGAAGTATTTGAATTATAGTTTAAACTAAGAATCCCAAAAACAACGCAACTTAATCAAGAAGTATAGATAAACACGAACGAATGAATAGTATTTGGTATTAGAAATCAAGCATTCATCAAGTACAATGGAATCATTGGTTTGTAGTGGATGTCGAGTCGAGGACGGACTATGATCACCACTACAATTTGATTACGCGCCCAGTAACGACTTGGTTCCTTTGATAGCTTGTAAATCAGAAGGCTTTATTAACCCAGATCAAATATATTTATTGGCGATCTCGTGGTATCGAAGTAATACCGAGACGTGCCAAAGCGTACAGGCAAAATGAGCAGTGCGTAAGCAAGTTCGAAGCAAACAAGGCGGATAGCGAAACAAGAAGTGAAACTGATACAGTTAAACAAATACAGTAAAACAATCTCTGGTACAATTGGTTACAATAATAATAATTGTTTCCGTTATTCCAATCGTGTTCTTATCGAGACTGGCTGGTCACTACAGGTTAATATAAACACCCTACATAGTCAAACCGGTTTTCAGAATAACTTAAGTGATGTTCATTACATCTAGTTACCTTGTGCAATGAGCAATTCAAATTCATACATACATGCATATACATTATTTTGATTTTCTATACATTCTAGATCATAAAAGTTAGTGAGCTGCTAGAGATAGCTACCTTATAAACTGCATCAGATAAGTTGGGCAATATTTTGAAGACATTGTGACAATATTGTATTAGCACAGTGGGACTTTGTTTTCCAGTAAACGAGCCACATGATATAATGTCTTTACTAACTACAGCTGGCTTCGGTTCAAAAGTAAATCGAGGTGGCTAATGACTGGGATATTCATGTCGCCTTTGACATCGAGTCAGTTCATGAAACGGTTGCATGAGAACTGTCCAGGTAATCAATCTTGACCAAAGCATCTGTCAATACGGTGTACGAAGTAGTGAATAATTATATATCTAGAGTAAATTGAGAAAATAACTGTACTAGCCCAGATTTTTAGGGATAGAACTCATTTAGAAATGAATCCAGAAAAGATGCATGTTAGTTATGATTGATTGAATTTATGAGTTCTTGGCCCTTTACAATGGTCAAAAGCTCCCTTACGCCCTGTAGTTTCTTGCGAAGAGAGCATAATGGAGTTAGCATTTTGGAACCATATTTACGGTGACGATAAGTGGGTATTTCAAGACCATTGTCGCAGCCAGAGTATCCACATCTAGATGGAACAGGAACAGCTACATAATAAACAGCTACCGATAGCCGAATCAAAACAAAGGACTAAGTAAAGATGCGGAAATCATATATGTTCAGTAATTACAACACATTTCAGTCATTGGTGTTTTCCCTCAGTGCCAAATATGATCGTACTAAATACAAACAATAACAACGGAGAATATATTTCATAAATCCTTTTACCTTTCTTACTTACTTTGAGCTCCGACCACTTATTATGAGAACGTGCAACCCGAAATTGACCATACTGTCACGAATATGAAAATATTGGCTTAAAATGTTAAATAATTGGTAAAAATGAAAAAAGTCAATGGTAAAAACACGTTGAGTCTGTAAAAAACCGTTATGCAAAAAGATTAATTATTCGTAAGTATTAGCTTTACCGCGATAAATACCATCTTTGTATTTTCGTTCGGCCTAAAAATGACACCGATATTCAGGGTTTGTCAATAATTTTTTCAGTAACACCTTTATAATCGAAGGTATCAACACAGTCAAATCAGAAGTCAGGGACTAATGAGTTAGAAGATACCTTGGAAAAAGCTATTGACCTGTCGAAAAGTTTTTTATCTAGGCTGTTTAGTAGTTGCGAGGGATGCGTAGCACTGTCTACCCACTTGTGATTTGGTGAGGATGCATAGCTGGGCGTCTTCAGTCACGGTGCATCCAGTAAAACTAATAACGTCAGAATCAAGGCCAAGTACTTACACAACTATTTATTTTAGGGATTTATTTACCACTTCGGTCCTTACTTGAAATGTTTCTGTCAGCTGAACTACATGCACAACTTTGCACAGTAGTTCGTCATGCAAATTCCGAATGATGTTGAACGTCTTATCAGGAACACCATAGTGTCAAGGAAGTTTCCACAATGTCCGCCTACTCATAATCAATGAAGTTGATGTATAGTGACGAATTCCATTCAATTGATTGTTCAGAGATGATCCATAGTGTCCTTATTCGGTCTGTGTCCGATCGATCCTTACGGAATCCAGCCTGTTGATTTCGAAGTTGGACATCTACTGACTCTTTCATCCGGTTCGACAACACTGTTGAAAATATTTCCTGGTACTGACATATGAAAGCTCATCCTAAACTTCAATTCTATCGGTAGTGTTCGAGTAATGGCATATCACAATGTTCATTTGATTTTTGGTAATCCCTTTCACAGTAAAGCCTCATGATTGACGGATATAGTTGGTTGGTTATAAAGGATTAGCTGTTGCGTGTGGCAAAACACCATAATATGCAAGCCACAAAAGCGATCGAACATGTTGAACTACTGAATCGTATCCAGTAGTATAGTATGTCTGGAAAAAACTGTAGAGGTGGTGGAAAAGACTTGAACAATATTCTTGACGATTTTTAGTTTACATGATCAATTTATTGTAGCTGGACAACCAACTAAAACCAGACAGAACTGAATAACTATTGTTTCTAGTAAGGGAACTGTCGGTGGTGCACACTCACAATCCCTTCAAAATCCGAACTCAAGACTTTCGGTCTGAATGAACCTCTCTATTACAGAGTTGGTTTAATGTTTAACTACAACCAAATCCCAATGTTGCGTGACCGTCGCTCAATGTTACTGATACCTAACTGCCTTACACTCGATACAGCTGAATGCCCTAAGGTACATGTTTTCACTAGGACTCCAGAGGTCATTTGTTGAAAGTAGCCGATTGTTTACTCAATGACTAGAATTCTAAAGCTTGTCATACATATTGATTTATATTAAACAAATAGACAACAGTAAATTGTTCAGAATCGAAAACCTCACTATGATACTATCTATCAATAAGTACATTTGGTAAACAATGTGTTGGATTTTAAACTCTTACAGCTTTTGTACTTATTGAATCTTGCAACATCAGGTCACCAATGACCAGAAATGTTTCATAATGAAGAACTATAAATAAACTTCTGATTTACAACGTTTTACGCCGATTCTATTTGACGATACTACATACTTCAATTTTTCAAAATCTAACCACGATAAATGCATGGGCATTGAAGAAGATCTCATTTACATTAGGTAGCATTGTTTACCCAGTAATATCAACCTCTGATTTATTGATTAAATAAATGGGCCTGAAATAGTCTGTTTTTACTAAATTATCATTCACGGAAACAATTAGTTTGAGAATGTAATATCTATAGTATTTGTTAGGATAAATTATTTTCCCAAAGTCTCATCAAGAAACATTTACGCATGGAGTCAAAGGAGTAAGTAATCAGGCAGAACTTTGCTGGTGACATTGAATCATCCTAGTATAATATGAGGGCTTTGACTTTAAAGAGCACTAACCAATGAGCGCTAACTCATAGACTGATTTATACCATGCTCATCACAAAACTTAAACTTCCTGAGTCCATAACTGTATGGGTTCGTATTAGGAATATCTTGATGTTAAGGACTAGTCGCTCTACGAAGAAAGAAACAGATAAATAAGTTCTCGTACACCTAGTTGAAGAAAGGAAATAACGTACTGAAAATATTAGATAGGGGTTTAATAATTGAAACTAGCTCTTATAATGAAATTTATAGTGAAATTTTAACCTAATTACGTTGAATGAAACATTTCTCACTTGTTGATGATTGTCTGAAGCCTATCGTAGAATTGGTCTTGAACGTCTTCATCGTAGTCGTTGGTAGGCGCATAGCATTGGATGACGTTCATTGTAATGCTCTCTCACTTTGTTTTGAAGGATGCTTTGATGATCCTTGGTCCATGAGATTCCCATTCAATAAGTGCATTTTGTGCTTTTCTGGACAGCATCAATGCAACTCCTTGTGTATGTGGGGCATTTTCTTCTTCATAACCAGAGTATATCAGAAGCTCCACTGAAGATAGCGGTTGTTGTCCAACCTGCGTCCAATGTGTTTCGCTGATTTAAAGCACCTCCAGGTTGTATTTCCTCATTTCTGCAGCAATTTGGAAGACCATTTCGATCTCCCACATTGTCCGGACGTTCCATGTACCTGTAAAAATTGTTGCTCTGGTTGTTAGAAGGTGCATCGGCCTCATGACTTCCGAAGGAACTCGTCTTTCATCATGAGACATCATAATTATTCCTTCAACTCCCAGGGCAGAGTTTAAATGGTTTGAATATTTTTTTCTGGTTAGCGTTTTTTTAGCGAGTTGATTTTCTACGGGATGGGGTCGCTAACCCCATGCCCAACCCTCCTCCTTTACCCGGGCTTGGGACCGGCAGTAGCACCTGGAGGAGCCACCGGTGGAGTTCTGACAACAGTAACCTAAACTTCTACGATGGTTTGAACAGTTTTGAAGTTCAGTCTATGATGGAAATTTTATCCGTAATAAATATAGTCAAAAAAACTCCGTAAATCTTGATAAAATACCTAATCTAATAGTAATACAAAGCAACAATTTGAATTATCTTATGGTTGAAAATATTTTGTAACTGAGTATGCATGTAATTAAGTTTATCGTCGTGTTTTGGAGACAAATCTATGCGTCGAATAATTCAGATGAACCAATCAGTCAGTATAGCTAAAAGTAAGTAAATGGTTACCTAAGTATTTGGTATAATTATTACTCAGTGAATAACACTTTATTTCTATAAAAAATATCTAAATAAAGCTAAAACAGTTTAGTTAGATAGTGATAGAAAATCCATAATACAAATTGTCAATAACAAAATGAAACATTATTTTCCATAATTTTGTTGATTTATTCGTTTTATTACTTAAAAACTGAAGTTAACTAATGATTTAATTTCTCAATGGGTTCACTGTGTAACATATGAAATGTAAGAAAGTCTATCATCATCATCATCATCATCATCATCATCATCATCATCATCATCATCATCATCATCATCATCATCATCATCATCATCATCATCATCATCATCATCATCATCATCATCATCATCATCATCATCATCATCATCATCATCATCATCATCATCATCATCATCATCATCATCATCATCATCATCATCATCATCATCATCATCATCATCATCATCATCATCATCATCATCATCATCATCATCATCATCATCATCATCATCATCATCATCATCATCATCATCATCATCATCATCATCATCATCATCATCATCATCATCATCATCATCATCATCATCATCATCATCATCATCATCATCATCATCATCATCATCATCATCATCATCATCATCATCATCATCATCATCATCATCATCATCATCATCATCATCATCATCATCATCATCATCATCATCATCATCATCATCATCTTCAGCGGTCGATATTCCGGGTACAATTTATGGATCCTAACTCATTGATTAATGTTTAAAGAACACTGATTCAAACTTAAAAAAAGTTAGTTAAATGAAAAATAATCTAGCAGAAAACGTTTTATGTGATCATTGTTGAATAAGTGAAATGTGTATTATGTAAATTATATACTTGAAATATCATTATGTGATAATATTGAAAAAGAATCATATATTGTTCATTGAAAGATTATAGAAATTTATTGTCAATACAAAATGAGAAACAAAAGTTATTTTTTATATAGAGACTGACCAGTTGCAGTCCTAACAAATCGATGGGAATATCCAAACAAACAATACTAAGTTGAATTTATTTTTTATATAGTTGAGATCATGAGTCAATTGAAGCTAGAGCATCATGGAAAACCTGGAAGCACTGGATAGCCGTTTCGTTTTACTGTGAGACTCCTCAGCCGTGTACGTCCACGATCCCGCCCCGCGAGATTCGAACCCAGAACCTATCAATTTCGCGAGAGAGCACTTAACCTCTAGGCCACTAAGCTACTGCTAAGGATTCCAGTGCTTCTAGGTTTTCCATAGTTGTCTAGCTTCAATTGACTCATGATCTCAACTCTATAAAATTACTTAAATCTCCACAAAATCCCTTTCTGATAAAAATTATTTTATTCAATTAGTCAACTACAGTTATAATGAGTTTGTTATTTATTGATTTCTTAAACTTCAATAAAATTCTCCTTTATTATCCTGATTTTTTCTTTGATCCATGTGATTTTAAAGAGGCTAGTAAAGTAACAGGACAGTTGGTTTAATATCCTGGATTAAATATTGATAGAATTCACGAGGTCATCAAGGAAACTATTTTATCTCTGAAGATTTTCCTTATTAGATTGTTTTAGAACGCCTTATATCCATTGGATAACAGATAATGCTCCTTTCCTTTTTAAAGCTAAACAGAGCTTAGCCAGATACAAAGACGCTAGAAGAAATAGAGTATAAAAAAAGACAAAGCTCCTTAACATATCTTGATTAGGTAATATATATTTTTGGAGTTAATAGAATGTAAACATGATAAATGTACTTCATTTAGAATAGGCTTATTTACAGATTACATAATCTTTTGCTTGTACTACTAATAATATGAAACTTAGTCAGAACCATAAACCCAATAGTTTTAACAGTGTGTTATTTCAACAAAAACTATAAATAGTATGTATTAGTATATTATAATGTTTACTTTAATATCTATACAAACAGATCTATCAATGGAATTCAGTAAAAGGGAAAAAAAATTAGGTATGTGAAGCGGCTATATCAAAAGTAAACACCCATAGAAAAACAAGTATTTACGTAGATTTGTTGAAACCAATAACAAAATATATAGGTAAGTTTAGAATAACAAAGTGTATACAATGTTTACAAAAGGCAATAGCTTAGAAAAGAAATAAATGATTATGATGAATTCATTATTTTTCTAGCAAATTGTTAACTTAATCTCAATGTTATTGACAGTAGTTAAGGTGAAAATAACCAGAGGAATAAACATTTTGTAAAAGGGAATTGTAATGCTACAACTGGGAAACTAAAATTATATATACCTTTAATACAATTGTGATGTGGTTTACTTATATTCACATAAGTAGTATATAGTGATGGTCAGACATAGAATGTATTTCGGCAGAAAATCGATAAAGAACGAATAGGAATAAAGCGCAATCGGTATGAAAATGCATGAATAATGAAATCAGAGAAGATGGATTGATATTTGCAGAAGGAACAGTTAGGATTGAGACAATCGATTGTTATTTTGCAAATTAATTGTTTACTGTATAGTTATCAGAATTTGATGAGATAGTCTGTAATTTATGCTCAAATACATTCAATTTTACGCACCCGTGTTTTGTTCACTATACAATTTCTTATTAAGCCAGCGGAATGATAATCATGGCTGTTATGCCATATCATTAGGTTAAAATACAAAATTTAAATAAATCTTCAGCTTAACTGTGTCATTGGTTAATTATTTATTTATTTCAAAACATATAAACATTGGTAGAAGGAGGCATCAAACGTATGTGCATCACACTTCATCATTCGATTTGTTTGAGGACTGGAGTACTTCCCAGGTGCCAAAACTTAATTACGTGGGTTTTTTAAGGAGACACACACCGAACCCTTGACGTAATAGTCTAATGCACAAAACAGTGGAACAACTTTAGAAGATGTAGTCCCATAGTAGTCAGTGACGAAAAATAGGTTCACACGACTTTTGTTCCCACGGGATCCTGCAGTTCAAATGTACCATTGCTTTAGAATCAGGATTTTTCGACTCCCTAGATGAAGCCTCTATATCCACCAACGCGGCTAAAGCGATGGGCATTAACTTTCGTCCCCTCAATGTCGTGAAAAACAACCCCACAGAGAGAAGGCACTGAGTAGGAATTCCCTATCAATAAGTGCATACGCGTGGTCATGTGAGAGCATTTCAAAAGAGAGAGCGGGCTCTCCTCGACCCTTACCGTACTAGGGCATTTGGGGGCTACTCTGCCATTGAGATTGATTTCAAGTTTCATCAAATTATGTCTTCAATCAGACTTATTATTATGTGGACACGAAGTTTACAACTTCCTACAGAATTCAGACCAGCAATAAACAATTTCATAGATGAATGTATTTACAAATCTAGTCAATCAAGGGATTTGAAGTTTAGACATGACTTCGTTTATTTCATTCAAGGCATTCGTCCTATCTCCCAAATGCATATGAACATATAATTGAATAATGATTTATTATTTTATACAATTTTGTTAAAATTTTGAATTTTTTTGATATATATTTCGCCTATTTTAATAGTTGAAATCATGAGTCAATTGAAGCTAGATCACTATAGAGAACATTGGAGCACTGGAAGGCCGTTTTGCTCTATTGTGGGATCCCTCAACAGTGTTCATCCATGATCCCGCACTCACGAGATTCGAATCCAGGACTTTGGATCTCTAAACCACTGAGCCGATCAACATCCAACGATTTTAATGTCTAAGTTCAACTAATCCACGAAATCCACTGACACATCCACCATTGTTCATATACTGGTAATTTTCATTATAATTTTTAAACACAATTGAGATTATATATTGTACAATTAACATCATCAAAAGTTAATTTTAGAAAAAAAATCTTATTGATAAATAAATATGCACTTAGAATTTGTATATTCCTATAAAATGACATCATTAACATACATATATATCCTTATATAATTATTATAATATAAGTCAATAATGATAAATGAATCAATTTATAAATTTAATTATTTAACAACAACAAAAATCACTATAATCTCTATAGAAACCCTCTATTGCCCCCTTCCTCCCTCCCCCTTACCATGTTTTTTTAAAAAAAACTAAAAATTATTTAATTTTCATTATTTAAGAGTTGTTGTTGTTTTTTTTTCGATTTAAAAATTTTTTTATTGATTTTTATGTACTTAATAATCATTATTTCCTAATCATTTAAATGATAAAAATATATACAGATTATAAATGATTTTAAGAATAATTAAATTAATAAAATTTAATTAAATTAATTAATTATTAATAATAATAATAATTATTAATATTTTTGTTTCCTTGGTAAGTAATATATAATAGTTTTTGTGTATATTCAAATGTATAGTATTATAGATATTTGTAAATATTATTTTAATTACTTATGTACTTACGTCTGTTACTCCTAATAGAGCATAGGTTGCCGACCAGCAGTCTCCAACTCATTCATTCTGCCATGCGCCTTCCTTTCTAGTTCTATTCAACTTTTGTACATTCTTCTCATATCTGTCTCCATTTCTTGGCGTAATGTGTTCTTTGGTCTTCCTCTTCTCCTTTGACCTTCAGGATTCTATGTGAGGGCTTGTGTTGTGACGCGATCGGGTGATTTCCTCAATGTGTGTCCTATCCAATTACAGCACTTTTTCCTGATTTCTTCCTCCACTAGATGGAATCTGTTTTGCTCTCTCCCACATGAGCTTGTTGCTGATAGTGTCAGGTCAACGGATCCGAATTATTTTGCGTAGGCAACTGTTGGTAAACACTTGTATTTTCTGGATGATGACCTTCGTTGTTCTCCAGGTTTCCCCCCCCCATACACTAGAATTGTCTCGATATTTGTATTGAAAATTGTGATCTTGGTGTTGGATGACAGACAATTGTTTTGGGTTGCAGATGTTCTTCAGTTGTAAATATTCTGCTCTCACATCTGCATCAGATCCACGGTGTTCATCGATGCTGCTGCACAGATATGCAAAAGTTGTATTTTTAATACATTTATATATTTGTTCGAAAAGACTAAGTTGATATACTTCAGTTATGAAGTGAAAGATTATTACTTTATTAAACCAAGTATGATGTGTTGTCTTCTACTTCTTCTTGAGAAAAAGGGTTTTATACTATTCTAATAGTAACTTAGCTTCGTGACTTATTTTTAAACATTGTATTTGGCTGTCATTATGTGAGTAATTTCATTTGTATACACTTTATTACCACGATAACCGCAGGAACACAAAGGTATATATATATATATCATCCATAGTGCACTCAACTATCACAGGTCTGGATGGTATGAAATTAAGCTAAAAGAAATTTAGAGGGTGGACAGTATTATCTTTAAAATTGGCTTCTGAAGTTATTGGTTTGTTATTTTGAGTTGTTCAAACAGATACAGACTTTGATGTTGATGTCTAGGTACTAGCTTCATTCTGTGATTGAAAACTTTAAACAAAATAATTATTTGAAATCAATTCGGATGGCAAAGTCGGATTCCTATAAATCTAACGTATATTTTCGCTTCTCATTCCTCATTCTTTCACGTTATTTATTCCTTTTAAAAATTGATCTCAATTTTATTTTCCCTATTTCTAGTTTCTCACCATCATAACTTCTATTATCAGAATATTAATTTTAAGCTGTGTCATATATTTCTGTTAGTTCTTACTTTGTCTATAGTTGACTAACTTAATTCTCAATCACTTGATTATATATTCGAGTCTGATTCAGTTAATTCAGTTTGAATAATCCAGTTTTGTGACAATGCATACAAGAATGAACTGTAACACAAAGATTAGTACATCATCGTGTGTATGGTTACAGCCTTATCTAAAAAACATCGTATATTACAGATACAAAATAAGTTATTTGAATAATTGTAACTAACTAAATTATGGCAAAGAGAGAATGTTTACTATTTATAGTTAGTTAGTTAGTTAATTAATTAAAAGAGAGTCATAAATAACAAAATCTTAATAATAAATGTAACAATGAAAGAACTATCAGAACTAGGAATGTATATACATAAGAAAAAAAAGGGAGCAATATATATATATCTATCTATATATTATCAATAAGAAAGGAACAATCATTTTTGACTTCTCTCTCTCTATATATGTATAAATCAATGTGAAACTGAAAAAGTCGAAAGATTCACAATAATATAATAGCTATTTGCGTTTAAGATAACTGATTTATGATCATCACAAATAAACTCGATTAAATTGTTATAGATTTTGTTCTTCTCTGTTGATCATAACCCGCTAATATAGTCCTAACTTAGCTACCAAGCGTATCACTAAGTGAAGAATTAAAGATAATTATCAGTATGAGGTTGTGGAGATTCTGAAGTTTTTGATTGAGATCATAAATCGACTAAAGTTAGATCATCATTGAAAACCTTGAAGCACTGGATGACTGTTTCGTCCTACTGTGAGGCTCCTCAGTAGTTCATATTCACGATCTTGCTCACCGGATTTGAACCCAGGAATTTCGGTCTTAATCAAAAAACTAATAATCTACATAACCCCATGCTGATAATTATCATTTGCTCAATGATGACTAGCATCGTGAGGAGATTCTTGGAGTTTTGGGAGGACTAGTGGGGTTAATCCATATCAGGTAGAGACAGATATCTACCTCAGTATATTTCATGTATTAGTTGAGGTTAAACATTAGCACCGTTGGATGCCGGTCGACTCAGTGGTCTATCAGTTAGGTGAACGCGCGCGAGATTGTTAAGTCCTAGGTTCGAATCTTGCGAGGTGGGTACGTGGATGCGCACTGCTGAGGAGTCTCACAGTAGGACGGTACGGCCATCCAGTGGTTCCAGGTTTTCCATGGTGGTATAACATCAGACGATTCATGGTTTCAATAACAAAGATGATTACTTTACATTAAGAACATCCCTAGTAGAGTGACTTGATCATCTCCCAACATGCTTTCATTTGGTGAAGTGGTTAATCACTATTGGTCATTCTAAATGTTATCTAATAAAATAAATCAACTTTGAACCTAGGACCTATCAGTCTCGCGCGCCAACACTTAACCGATAGATCACTGAGCCGGCCGGCATCCAACGGTGTTAATCTTTAACTTCAACCAATCCACGAAACTAAGCAACTAGTAGTAGTATTGTCCTTCCGTTATTTTATTCACTTTGATTAACAAGTCCATTATCCAGTTCTTGTTTTTTTTATGTAGCAAGGTATGTAGACAAGAGTATCTAATCAATCATAGAATAAGGAGGAAAAAAGGAATTCAGTTATTTCTAGAAAATAATAAGCAAATAGGCTCTAAAAAAGCAAAACATTAAAGACCACGAAATATAGTGCAATACATTAAGTCTGATACTTATACTCTATTGAAATTAGTACCTTCAGGTCTAATGATAAGTTGATATATCACAAAAGACCTGGTTGAACTCCACTAGTCACTGCTTCTCACTAGAATTTCAGGAAACATTTCTTGAAGCCATTCACTAGTGAAGATATGATTTTGGTAATTTTATAGTTGAAATCATGAGTCAATTCAAGCTAGACTACAATGGAAAACCATGAAGCACTGGACGGACGTTTCGTTCTATTGTGGGATACCAATTCACTGATGACAATAGTGGGTGGTTGCTCACTTTCGTGGATTGGTTGAAGTCAGATATTAACACCGTTGGATGTCAGCTGTTTTAGTGGTCTAAAGGTTAAGCGCTCGCTTGTGAGACTGATAGGTCCTTGGTTCGAATCTCACGAGGTAGGATCGTGGATGCGCACATGTAGATTGCAATCAATTTATTATTATTATTTATTATTTAAACACATAAATATTGGTACAAGGAAGCACCAGATACATATGCGCCTCACAAATCTCATTCGATTTGTGTGAGGGCTGAGATACTGCCAAGGTGCCCAGACTGAAACAGGTGGTTTTCTTAGGGGACCACACCCGGAGACTTTGACCTGAATGTCTGATCCACAAGGCAGTGGAGCATCGTAAGGAGATGCAGTACCATGGTTGTCTGTGACCAACGATTGGTTCAAACGCCATTTGTTCCCTCAGGATACTGGAGCCCATGTGCACCATTGGTTTGAAATCAGGGTTTTCCAACTCCCCTAGGTGAACTATCCGCGTCCACCAAACGCGTTAAAGCGTCGGACATTCGCTTTTCGTCCTCTCACTTTCGTAAACAACACCATGGAACGAGAAGGCAGTGAGTAGGACTTCCCTGGCAGAGGCTATTTACGCGTGGCCATGTGAGAGCATTTCGAGAGGGAGAGGTGACTCTCCCCACTCTCGGCCGTACCAGGGCATTTGGGGGCCTTCAATTTATGATATGATACAATTTTCATTCAATATATATTGAAAGAATTTTGGTCTCTTTTTTCAAAGTTCATTTGGTTAATGCCTTTACATCGTGAAAATAACTATCCAAATTTTAAATTTGTTTTAATTTCATTTTAGTATAATACCAGTTCATTTTAGATTAGAAATAATAACAAAAAATTAAAATGTGTACTGTCGTATTGAGATTAACATTACTACTCATAAATGCTTTAGTTGGAGTAAGTAAACAATTATGATCATACCGTTTTTTAAAAATTTTATTCTTGATTTTGATTCTATTTTATGTATATTAAATAATTTTTTCTGGTTAGCGTTTTTTTAGCGAGTTGGGTTTTTTTTACGGGATGTGGTCGCTAACCTCATGTCCAACCCTCCTCCTTTACCCGTGCTTGAGACCGGCACTAGCCCCTGGAGGAGCTACAGGCGGAGTTTTATTGTATATTGAATGACAGAAAAAAGGATTTATTAAAAAAATATTAGAAGATAATTTTTATGTAGTTGAAACCATGTGTCAATTGAAGCTAGACCACCATGGAAAACCTGGGAGCACTGGATGGCTGGTTCGTCCTAGCATAGGACTCTTCAGGAGTGAGCATCCACGATCCCACCTCACGAGACTCGAACAAAGGATCTATCAGTCTTGCGCGCGAGCGCTTAACCACTAGACCACTGAGCCCGCATAGCTTAATGGAGGAAAAATTAACATGTATATCAATGTGAATAAATTTACACAGTTGTGTTATAACTTGTTGTCAAGTGGATGGCTTGTTAATTTATAACGTGACAAGACACGACGATTTGAGAGCAGTGAATTATAGATCGGACCAGTGTTACACGCGAACCTATACGAGCAGTCTACAGTACTTTATCGATCCTGCTTTCAGCTTAGCCCATCTAGTTAAGTCCAAAACACAAATAACAGCCTCTGCAATATGAATCATTATACTCAAATATTCTCGGTTTATATACCAAACAGACAGATCACATCGTACGATAAAATAGAAAATAACATGTGTACAAGATTTAGCTAAATGTGGCTGTGAATAGGAGGAACAGTAATCAGTAGACTGGGGATAACTCAAGAATGGTAAATCATATAATAATATTTCATAGATCAGAATAAAGCATATAATGTGAGGGACATGAATATGAATAGTTTAGTTATTTAACAATATGCATAGTATTGGTCCATAAATGGATCTCGAAAGTTACCACTCATTATTGTTACCGGGACACAACAAGTTGACATTTGAACTAATTAAACATGTTAACATGTATAAATGCTAAAAAGAAGATATGAAATACAATCAGTTTATCATATTCTATAAACACTCTAACTAATAAACAGTCAAGCTTCAGTTGTTGTTTTTTTTTAAAGCCATCACTATCACGCTACATGAATATGATTTTTATATTCATAAAGAGATGGTTGTTTACCTTTTGTTGCCTTGGTGCCATAAACATTTCTACATTACCTTACAAAATTTTATTCAACTCTTACTTTTTCAATTAATTACGTCATTATCTTCTTTGATTTAAATCATTTTCTAGCTTAATAACCTTATTGTAACTGACTGAGCTTCACTTACTTGATTGTTATTTATTATCAACGTTTTTTCTTTCATTACGTAGTCATTTGTCACTAGCCATTTGATTTTTTGTCACTACCAATATTGTAGAACATTCTTTCGTATAAGATGTATTTTATTTAGTCTATCAAATTTATTTCAATCTTTTACTGTGTAATCATAGCAACTTCCAACTAAACTTGAACAGATTTTGTAGCTAAGGTTTTTTAATATTACAAGTTGTAAGCATCTGACAACTTACTTACTTACTTACTTACGCCTGTTACTCCCAGTGGAGCATAGGCTGCCGACCAGCTTTCTCTAACCCATCTGACAACAATCAAAAAAAATAAAATGAATTCATGCCATTCAACTCATATCTTTGTTCTTCCTTTCTTCAGGATGATGAAGGGAACTATGTGAAGGGAATACTATAATTCTCGTTTAGTTCTATTATATTACTCTATTAAGTAAAACAGTTTGAAATTGAAACATTTAGAACACTGATGAATTCGTTTTATCACAGCCCGTTTTGTGGACATTCTAGTAATTATATAGTTGAATTTATGATTCAGTTGAAGCCAGACCACCATGGAAAACCTGGAAGCACTGGATGACCGTTTCGTTTTACCGTGGGACTCCTCAGCAGTGCGCATCCACGATCCCGCCCGCGGAATTCGAACCCAGGACCTGTCGTTCTCGCACGCGAACGCCCGAACTCTAAACCACTGAACCGGTTGACATACAAAGGTGTTATTGTCTAATTAGTGACTGGCTTTTAGAGTTCTAGTGAAAAACCGTGAACAGTGGAGTACAACTAGATGTACTGTGAGATAGTAATTCACTAAAGACAATGGTGTACGGTGGCGCGATTTTGTGGATTGGTTGAAGTTAAACATTAACACCGTTGAATTCAATTTAGTCGGAAAGTTTTAAATTAAAGGAAAACAACATCTTCATACATCTTGTTCATATTTGAAATCAGTGTATGAAATGTAACATATTGTTTAACTAAATGATCAGTAGAAAAATCAATCCTATTACAGTGATTAACAGATTTTATAAGAAATTTCTTTCATACAATATTGAATTGTTATGTTTATAAATGATCTTAAATTCCAATCAATATGATGAATGAACATGATATAAATTATTTTGCATTCCATAAGTAGTCGAAGGTGTGTAATGAATGAAAAATTGTATTACATACTTACACCTGTTACCCCTTGTAGAGAAGCGTAGGTCTCACACCAGTATTCTCCATCCAACCCTGTCGTGGGTTCTTTCCAGTTAACATTAATCCTTTTTATATCTGCTTCTATTTCCCGACGTAATGTGTACTTTGGCCTTCCTCTTTTCCGCTCCCCTTCACCATTCCAAGTTAGGGATTGCCTTGTAATGCACATTGGTGATTTCCTTAATGTATGTCCGATCCACTTCCAACGTCTTTTCCTGATTTCTTCTTCAACTGGAAAATGGTTTGTCCTCTCCCATAAAATACTGTTGCTGATAGTATCCGGCCAATGAATGTTGAGAATTTTACGTAGACAACTGTTTATAAATACTTGTACCTTCCTGAAAATATTAATTTCTATATGTTGCGTCCTATAGTTAGTATTTATGTAACTTAATATAATACAAAAGTCTCGTTGGACTCCATCATCTACATCATTGTTAATTTAATAAACCTGGTTTCCTTCTATAAATTAAACGCATTTTACTACTTCTTGTGATACTACTGATCAAAACAGTAATAATAACTCCCGAGTCAAAACTGTACAGGAAATTTTGACTTGATACTAAGCTATATCACTGGAAAATAAACTGTTTAACGTATCTTCCTTAGTGATAATGTAACATCTGTCATGATCCTGTGGTTATGAGGATTATTTAGAGCATTTATACTTTATAAATCATAATACGGAAAACTTTATGCTTGCAAAATTGACAACCACTATGGTTTGTAAGCAGAGATGGATAGTGGATTAAGGTATATCGAGGCAATACGCACAGTATGCACATATGCCAATTAGAGACTGACCAGTTGCAGTCCTAAACACATCGATGGGAAGATCCAAACAAACAATACTAAGTGAATTCACTATGGTTTGTGTTCTAAAAATATTACTATACACCAAAATGATATCAATTCTGATCATACATTTTCCATAGATGTACTTTACGTTTGTAATAATTCTGTGACAAATGCTCAGGCAAAAGAATACAGTTTATGAATCATGGTGTTTTTAAGAAAAATAGTATATCCTTAATTCCCTTTCCCCCCCCCCAAGTGTTACCTCACTTTGAGTCAGCCTCACTGTACCAGTAAATTGGTAGGGATTTCTTTTCATTATTATATATGTACGAGGAAACGATGTATTAACTGACAAATTATTTTCTTTTTGAATATACTTAGCTATCAGCGTTAATAGTTTCATCGTTTGGTGCAATTTTAACATGGGGCAAAGAAACTATAACAAGAGAATTAGATGAGGTAATTGGTCCAATGATTAAGAAAATGTATGATGATGAAGTAGCACAAGATTTCACAGATGTAGCATCTGCTATCTTACAATTAACAAGTAATGTACAATATTTTCGGTTGGATTTTCCCATTTTTATTTTGTATACGATAAGTGTTTGTAATGATTGAATACTTGAGGTATAATTTTTTTTTTACTTACGCCTGTTACTCTCATGGAGCAAAGGCCGCCAACCAGCATTCTCTAACCACCGACCACTTGAGGTATATGGTTAAATAATAATAATAATAATAATAATAATGTATGTACTAATTGGTTTCGTCCATTGTTATTAGCAAGGCCGTATTGAAGCATAACATTCAACTTGATAATATACCATTTAAATGTTCTTCATTTACTATGAATAATTGTAGGCAAAGATGGATAATGGCTAGCAAACTATATCGAGGCGATATGCACAGTATGCACATATGGCAATTAGAGACTGACCAATTGCAGTCCTAAAAACATCAATGGGAAGATTCAAACAAACAATACTAAGTGAATTTATTACTATTAATAGATCTATAAAAGTTTAGTAGTTAAAGTCGAATGGAAATATTAAGATTTAGGGAAAAGTAAACCATTTACCTATTCGAAATTTGTTCATTGTTGAATTAATTTCCTTTAAATTCACTTAATTATTACTATTTCTAATGTAAACATAGTTGATTGATTTTGGTTAAACAGTAACATATTCTCTAGGCCAAATGAATCTTCAGAGAATGCACATATTTCGAAATAAGATTGATCGAAATTTGGTTAAGAATATCAACAATAGAATAATTTAGACCATCACAAATTAGATCAAATTCACACTTAGTCACACAAGTTAATAACTCTCAAGATTCAGTAGTTCAGTAGATAATGAAATGAGCATTTGAAGCGTAAGGTTCTACGTTAATGTCCTGGTGTATTCATGAATACTGGGATGAAGATGTATTATCTAGCTGATAAATCCAAAATAGGAGACAGAATGTATTCTAGATTTCAATATAATCCACAATCTATCTAGTCTATATCATCGCTAATATTCATAGTACAATATGCTGTAAAAAGGATAACTACTTTTCGGGATAAACTGATTAAACAAAACAATTGTTTAATCATACTTGTTTCCAAATTTCAATCTATCCATCAGTTCCCTATTCTTTTTCTAATTTTTAAGATACTAATGTTACGATTGAAATTAATTCTAAAGCACGAACAGTAAACATTGTAAGTGGTTAAAGGAAATCCACTTCATTATGTATGCTCTACAGTTTTTGAATCTTCACAAGTTTCGTTAATTAAGACAGCATTCTAGGAATATAATTTGGAAGGGGAAACATGTTAGAAATAAATCAGTTCTATCATGTTTTTTGTCGGTGATTTCACTAAACCAGTAAACTGGAAAAGTTCTGAATTCTTTGTTGACTGTAAAAGAACTAACAAATAGACATTATACTGACATCTTGGGAAATTAAATAATGGTCAATAGTCCTTGGAACTCAGAAATCAATCATTAGGCACGGACAAGTATAAATTATCATGAATCAGCTAACAATAAATTTAGCTCGTAGCCTAGGATATATAGACAATAATATGAAACAGTAATAGCACTCCGTCATGAAGTACTGGTTTATACGCTCAGTTTTCAGTGACTTTGTTTGTATTCAACGAGATCGTACAACTCAGTTACCAAAAAACAATGCAAATAAAGAATCGGTAACTAAGATACTTCCTCATGTACATATACAGACATTTTTATTGGCTTAAGTTCATTTGTGTATTTTTCATATCTTGATAGCTGATCACCAAAACTAGTTGAATTATAGCATTCAAAATATATACAGCTATGTGGAGAACTTCAATAACGAAAAATATACAATATGAAACTGTACCTGGTTGATAGTATTTATTTATTTAAACACATAATTATTGATACAAGGAAGCACCAGATACATATGCGCCACACAAATCGAATGAGATTTGTTTGAGGGCTGTGATATTACCCACGTGCCCCAAACTGAAGCAGGTGGTTTTCTAAAGGGAACCACACCCGGAGCCTTTCACCTAAAGGTCTGATCCACAAGGCAGTGGGGCATTGTAAGGAGATGAAGTCTCGTGTTAGCCGGTGACCAACGATTGATTCATACGTCATTTGTTCTCTCAGGATACTGGAGACCATATGCACCATTGGTTTGGAATGAGGGTTTTCCAACTCCACTAGGTGGAGTTTCTGTGTCCACCAACCCGGTTAAAGCGCCGGACATTCGATTTTCGTCCTCTCACTTTTGTGAACAACACCCCCGCCACAAGAAGGCAGTGAGTAGGACTTCCCTGACAGAGACTATATATTCGCGTGACAATATGAGAGCATTTAGAGAGGGAGAGAGAACTCTCCCCACTTTCGGTCGTACTAGAGCATTTGGGAGCGGTTGGTAGTAACTAATGTTGAAATACTTATCATCAATAATTTTTTTTATATAAAATGAAATATTTTTTTCATTCGGGAGAAACATAGATAGCAACTAATGTTTTTCTCTCAAGATTTTGTTCAAAGATTGTTTTGTGAATGAAAATCTATCTCTCATCAAGTTTCTAAATTTTTAAACTTTTTCAGGTCCATTCGGTTTGATTTTATTTATACTAGGATTAGTAGCCTTGGCTATTTGTTTATTTGGTTTCTGTGGAGCAAGTTGTAAGAGTATTCTTTGCCTCAGAGTGGTATGTTTAAAATTAATTGTTTGATAAATATTTATATATTATAGAAAACTTTCAGAATTTAAAATCTAAGAAATGTATAAAATTTCAATAATTGAGATCATGAGTCAGTTGAAGCTAGATCACCACGGAAATTTGGAAACACTGGATGGTCGTTTCAAATCTGGCAAGGTGGAATCATGGATTCTCACTGTTGTGGATTCCCACAATAGGACGAAACGGCCGTTCAATGCTTCCAAGTTTTTCATGATGGTCTAACTTCAATCGACTAATTATCTCAACTATTCAAATTACTATAAAATTCACAAAACCCCCTCTGATATTAAATGTATGAAAGTCAGAATCACAAGTAATTAGTTTTACTTAAATAAATGCAAATGAATTTCAATTAATACCAGAACACTATCTTGGTTTTCAGGAGTTTAGGGCTTCTTATAGTGGTACTAGATTAAGCAAAAACTAGTTGAAGTCACTGTTAAAGTGATGAAATCAACAACAAACGGTTAGAGTGAAATAGAAACAAGTTGAAAGTGATCAACTCAACATGGTTTAATGAATAAAAAAGTGAGAGAAAGTTATCAACCTCAGACAACTGGATGCCAGCCCGAAGGTCTAAAGGTTGGGCATTTGTACGTGAGATCGAAGGTCCTGGGTTCGACCCCCGCATGTGTAGTCGTGGATGCGCACTTCTGACGAGTTCTGTACTGGGGTGAAACAGCTGTCCAGTAGTTCCAGATTTTCAGTGGTGTTCTAGCTTCAATCGACTCGTGAGTTCAACCGTGAAAATACTACAATCTCCACAAATCACCATACTGAAAAAAATAGGTTGTGGATATGGAAATTGTGTAAAAATCTAATTGTTACTTATTAGTAGTATAAAGAGGTTACATAAATTTGGAGGAAGTATATTCTGATGATACATTTTATTGACATTCGTAGGTAATTGTTGAGAAGAGGCGACAGATATTAATACATTAGAATTACTTGGAAATGAGTAGATTTTAATGTTACTTGAGGTTTAAACTTCTTCAACGAAGTAATTAAGATATTTTTGAACAAATAAAATTACAATATATGTTGATAATGTAATAAGAACTATGTGATGAGATATTAGCGCAATACATTTCGAACAATCTGATCACACATAGTGTACTTGTTAAGAACATTTATATATAAAAGATAAAAGGCCAACTAGACTGGAAATAGGGGGGTAAGGAGAGACAAGGATAATAATAATAATAATAATGTGAAATTGATTTGAAACCTAGTCAATCTGGATAATAAGCTAATATTACCAACGTAGGTTTAAGGAGAGAACAAACCGTTTTTGAATACACAATGGGGGTTTGAAATTTCGTATGTCTAAGGCTTCAATAAACCTCAGTATATGCCCCTTTACACAATTAGACAACACAACAAAAGTCGAATTAAGATCAATCTTATGCTCTGTTTCGATTATTTGTTTGTCAATAGAGGATGATGGATGTTTATCCTCTACTATTATTGGGTCATTCGACAATATATGACTTATTACAATTTATATATAGTTCATATTTAACGATTATGAGACCTGAACATTCTCTATTCGATTCTCCTTGAAACGCTTGGTGGGTATTACCACTAGTAATTGTATATTAGGACAATAAAGATATTGATTGCTTTACTGTTTTGAATGATTCTTCTGCCTATATATCTTAGTGATGAAAATTACACAGCTACAACTGCTGTGAGCGAGAAGGAAGACCAACTTATCGTTTAATGTAAAACTACGGTGTTTTAGTGAAATATGAAAACCATACATTGAATACTTCATCAGTACGTTTTCCATCAGTTGTCTGTCACAAACATCATCATCCTTTCATTTCTGTTGTGCTTACAAGTACTATCTGTTAACATTTCTGTTCTCTTCATTTCAATTTTCTGATTACTGTACATACTACTTATGTCTGTCAACATAAGTAGCGTACAATACATAACTAGCCAAATGCGCAGATACGAAATGCGCAAATAAATAAGTGATCTACGTGATTTATTCGTTAATAGAAATACGACTTATTCAATCTTAGTATTGTGTTAAAGCAAATGCAGTCTAGCGTCCTTATTGATCCTTTGTTCGCCAAGCCTTTTCAATCGAGTCCACAACGCTAACAGTAGCGTCGACTAAACAAATCATTTATTTTAAACACACTTGGTTTATATATCAGCCAAACAGATGGTATCACATCATAATATAGAAAAAAACATTTATACAAAATCAGTGTCTGTGAACGTGGGAGACGGTAATTAATAGACTGAGTATAATGTTAGAATAGTAAATCGTATCATAATAGTCTATAGGTCAAAGTGAAGCTTATAATAAGAGGAATATAGATATACACAATCTAATTACTCAATAGTTAAACAATAAGAACATTTATAGAATAATCGTCCATTAATAGATCCCGGAAGTAACCCGTGCTTATATCTTCACTAGGATATAACAGTACTTATATTTTTGTTTGTTAAACTTAAATCCATAGTTATGATATGCCATAAGTAGTTATTTGAAGTAATTAGATATGTAAATACACTGATATTTCACAGGGTTGTCAGTTTTTTTATCAATAAACTCCCATTTGGACCAAAGTTATAATTTACAATAGTCATTACCGGTAAAGTTGTAACTCAGAAGGGGTTTTTTGTGTCCTGAGTTCGAATATCGTGAGGCGCGGTCGTGGATGAGCATTCCTGATGGGTGATGGATGAAACGGCCGTCCAGTGCTTCCAGGTTTTCCCTGGTGGTCTAGCTTCAATTGACTCATGCTTTTAATTATGAAGGTTATAATTGTATATTAAAAACAGTATATGGAAAAGCAATAAACACCATTGTGTTACATAAACTCTTTCTTGAAAAAAAAGGATTATCATTAAATTATTCAGCTAGAAATCAGGTTCAGAGTTATTTCATATTATATAAGAAGTAAACTAACGGCAAATTTACATGATGTTCTCACTGCATATGTTTTTCGGTGTTTGATTTTCTGATCTGGATGATCTAATCATGAAACGTTCATCTTCTTTTTAGACAACAAATTATAATTGAATTAATGAATATACTATGAATTTAATGTTAACCTCAGTTAAATACACTAGGTATATTTGAATGAATCATATAAACAACCTTAAAATAAAATTGTGGATCCGTAGAATGATTACAGTCGATTAAGTGTTCAAGTATGGAACTCTTAACTGCTTTCATTTCACCCTTGTAGAACCAAACTTGGATATGTTCACGTATCTGAGTTGTAAGCGAGAGCTCGCTACGGTCAATGTATCTTGCTCTAAAAGAGCAGGTGAACTGGTAGATTTAATGTTATATATGATATAATGTTTGACTTCAAATGTAATTGATCACAGAGATTAAAAATTCTATCTAAAATATGAATTAACCAGGATACTATTCTTGAAATATTCACAAAAGATTAATCTTAAAACTTTCATATAAAAACATATACTGAATCAAACTTTGATATTTCAATGAAAGATAACTATGCTTTTCTTATTTTATAGTACATTGGATTACTTTTAGTATTGATCGTTATTGAGATTACTGCGATGAGTTTTTACTATACCAATCGAGAAACAGTAAGTTAAATTTGACTCATGTTTATTCTATATAGTTGAGATCATGAGTCAATTGAAGCTAGACCAACATGGAAAACCTGGAAGCACTGGATGGTCGTTTCATCCTATTGTGATATTCCTCATCAGTGCATACCTACGATCCCGCCTCGTGAGATTCGAACCCAGGACCTATCACTTTCGCGTGCGAGCGCTTAACCTATAGACCGCTAAGCCATTAGGCATCCAACGGTGTTAATGTCTAACTTCAACCAATCCACGAGTGCGGGATCGTGGATGCGCACTGCTGAGGAGTATCACGATAGGACGAAGCGGCCGTCCAGTGCTTCCAGGTTTCACATGGTGGTCTAGCTTCAAATGACTCATGGACTCAACTTTTAATTACTGGAATCTTTACAAAACTCATTCTGATAATGTTTATTCATTAAATTGATGTGAAATACTCTATTATCTATCCACTGTAAATCTAATTGTATTATTTATGTTATAATAAAAAAATATTCAGTTGTACATGATAAACTGTGGAAAAGATTTGTAGCTCTGGTGAATGATTTTGGTGGAGTTTTGTTTTGGAGAAGGTCGATAAAAGCTCCACGACCAAATCATCCAGCTCAGAGAACAAAACTCCATCAAAAAATTATAAACTGTTGAATTTATATTTTTCCATGGTCAATATTTTACGAGGGAAAAGATTATTTACTTTTACTGGGTAGGTTTATTGAATAAATACTTCAAGCATATCTGGAAAAACAAGTTGATTATATTTTTACATTCGATATAGAGAATACCGGTGTCAGTCAAGGTTGCTTACTCTCACCCTTTCTCTTTCTCCTGGCGATCGACTGGATCATGAAGACGTCAACATATGGAAGGAAGCACGGGATGCAGTGGACAGCTAGGACGCAGCTGGACAATTTAGACTTCGCAAATGATCTGACTCTTCTATCACACACTCAACAACAAATGCAGGAGAAAACGACCAGTGTAGCAGCAGCCTCAGCAGCGGTAGGTCTCAATATAAACAAACGGAGAAGCAAGATTCTCCGATACAATACAGCATGCACCAATCGAATTACACTTGAAGGAAAAGCTTTGGAGGATGTGTAAAACTTTACATATCTTAGCAGCATCATTGATGAACACGGTGGATCTGATGCAGATATGAAGACGCGGATCGACAAAGTAAGAGCAACATATTTACAACTGAAGAACATCTGAAACTCAAAACAATTGTCTGTCAACCAACAAAAAGATCAGAATTTTCAAAACAAATATCAAGACAGTTCTATTGTATGGGGCGGAGACGTGGAAAACTACGAAAGCCACCATCCAGAAGATAAGAGTGTTTATTAACAGTTGTCTACACAAGATACTTCGGATCCGTTGATCAGACACTATCAGCAACAAGCTCATGTGGGAGAGAACAAACCAGATTTCATCTAGTGGAGGAAGAAATCAGGAAGAAGCGCGTGAAGTGGATTGGGCAAACTTTCAGGAACTCACCCGACTGCGTCACAAGGAGATCCCCCAATTATAATCCTGAAAGCCAAAGGAGAAGAGGAAGACCAAAGAACACATTACGCCGAGAAACAGAGACAGATATGAGAAGAATGAACAAAAGTTAGATATAACTAGAAAGGAAGGCGGATGACAGAATGAGTGGGTTGGAGAATGCTGGTCGGTGGCCTATGCTCCATTGGGAGTAACAGGCGTAAGTAAGTAAGTAAGTAAGTCAGTCAGTAAGTAAGTAAGTCAGTAAGTAAGTCAGTAAGTAAGTAAGTAAGTCAGTAAGTAAGTAAGTAAGTCAGTAAGTAAGTAAGTAAGTAAGTAAGTAAGTAAGTAAGTCAGTAAGTAAGTAAGTAAGTAAGTAAGTAAGTAAGTAAGTAAGTAAGTAAGTCAGTCAGTCAGTCAGTCAGTAAGTAAGTAAGTAAGTAAGTAAGTAAGTAAGTAAGTAAGTAAGTAAGTCAGTCAGTCAGTCAGTAAGTAAGTAAGTAAGTAGGTAGGTAGGTAGGTAAGTAAGTAAGTAGGTAAGTAAGTAAGCAAGTAAGTAAGTAGGTAAGTAGGTAAGTAAGTAAGTAAGTAAGCATATAGATTGACGATTCTCTAACAATCCTGAATTGCCATGGATTGCAATTAAAACAAGGTATTTCCCTTAAACTTGGCCATTTTTCATTGGATGACCTTAGAAGAAATTTTTTTCATTCATACATTTATATTTTGCATAATAATGATATTTTTCACGTTTTTTTTTTAAAGAAAATTAAATTTTTTTAAATTTTTCTATTCAAGGTATTTAAGTTAGCTAGAAATATTGCTTATAAGTCATTGCAAAATTATCGTTCCGTTGGTTCTAATAATACGGATAGTATACTATATTCAGTTATTATGCCAACTGTAAGTTACTACTACTAATATTATGTATTATATTATAAAAATAGTCTATTGAAAATAGAATTTGGCAACGTTATTTATTTAGAAACTTTTATTGATGTTAGCTTACACTACTTTTTTTGTAATAAACATGAAGGACTTGGATTGTTAATCAAGGTAAAACTACGGTTGATCATAACAATCTGTATCTATGTTCATGGAATATGATGAGGACTATTTCTAGTTAATTCTACAAACTTTTTAAATATACATATGATAATAGATGTTTGTCAAGTAGCCCCCAAAATGCCCTGATACGGCCGAGAGTGGGGAGAGTCCACTCTCCCTCTCCAAATGCTCTCACATGGCCACGCGTATATAGCCTCTGACAGGGAAGTCTTACCCACTGCCTTCTCGTGGCATTACTGTTGTTTACGAAACTGAAAGGACAGAAACTGAATGACCGACAATTTAACCGGGTTGGTGGATGTGGAAAGTCAACCTAGGGGTGTTGGAAAACCCTGATGCCAAACAAATGGTGTACATGGGCTTCAGTATCCTGAAGGAACAAATGGCGTATGAATCAATCGCTTGTCACCGACTACTATCTCCTTACTCTTTGTGGATCAGAACTTTGGGTTGAAGGCTCAGGGTGTGGTCCCCTAAGAAAACCGTCTGCTTCAGTTTGGGCACGTGGGCAGTATCACAGCCCTTATACAAATGAAATGAGATTTGTGTAGGGCATATATATGGTGCCCCATTGTACCAATTATTATGTGTTTCAAAAAATTAAAAAAAACAAGTTGACGTTTATAATTTACTTTTCACCGGAATATCATTGGCATTGGTTTTTAAAACAAATACATACTCAACCACACTTTATGGTTATTATTTCTTTCAATGTATGTTAGTCCATGCACATATAAGCAGATTGATAATTATTATGGGCTGTGATACGATTGTTTGCTAATTGTTTGGGATTTTGGTGATGCATATGTGGTGTGAGCTACTTATATCGATATAAGTAGTATATATGGTGAGTAAGGAATAGAATATCTGACAGCAGAAGATTGAGAAGATCAAGAAGAAAAGAACAGAAATAAAAAGCGATTTGTGTGGAAATCCAGGAACAATGAAGCCTGAGGCAATTGAAGAACATTTTGCAAATAGTGTATTATAGCATGGTTTTTGTATTTTAGCAAGTAACGTTGTAATTTGTACATAGTTGGTTGTCCTCACCTGCGTTCTCATTCACAACACGTAGACTTCGTTTTTTTCTATAGATATGCCGTACGTTGCTGAGCGGTAAGTTCTGTTAACTGTCGAATCAAACCTTCAGCTCAAGATATAGCTGTTGCGATTGAAGTTCTAGTAATCAATAGGAGGATTCAAAGAACCAATAAATATGGTTTGAACTTCACCTCATTGCACAAGGTAATGTTTATCTAGACTAGTTATCTAGACTAAGTGGATGACCCGAGGTTTATGCTGATGATGTCGTTCAGAAGGATGATGAAAGCTCCACGACCCAACCATCTAGCTCAGAGGCCATACCAACATCAAGATAGTTCATTATTCCATCAGTAGTCTTTTTCATGAATTTATATTTTATGGTGGTCTACCTTCAATTGACTCATTATTTCAACTATGAAAAATACTGTAATCTCCACAAAACCCCGTCAGAAAATAAAAAAAGTAAACATTATTCCCAATTATGTAATCAATCAACTTTGTAATTGTAATTAAAATTATTCTAATTATATGTCTAATTATATATATATATATATACTTTGTCTTATTTCAGCTAAATTGTTGTGGACTATTGAATGGATCAGATTTTGATAATTCACCTAATTTTCAAAGACAAGTACTTTTTAATCAACAAAATTTCGGTATGTTCATAATTAGTTTCAAAAGATCTAAGGTTAACAGCCGAAACCCTATACATATCGACTAATCCAAACAGTATTAATAGGAGGAATGGAATACGATTAGCTGTGTCATGGCAGTTAGTCATTAATAAGAAAAAACCTGAACTCCTTTCCGTTTTATCTATCACCTATTATCTTTACAAATATATTATTCCTATTTAAGATCTATGGTTAGTTTTGAAATAAATATATTCATAGTTGAAAGTATGAGTCAATTGAAGCAAGACCACCAGGGAAAATCTGAAAGCACTGGACGGCCGTTTCGTCCTATTGTGAGACTCCTGCTGAGGAGTCTAGCTTCAACTGACTCACGCTTTCAACTATGAAAATACTAAACCTCCACAAAACCTTAGTAACACCCTTTTACACTTTTATACAACACCACAAAAGCCGAGTTAAGATCAATCATATGAGAAGGGGTTTTTGTGGAGATTTAGTATTTTCATAGTTTAAAGCGCTTTCAACTATGAAAATACTAAATCTCCACAAAAACCCCTTCTGATAATTAATATAATCATATGCTTACTAGTGACTGACTTCGAGAAGTACATCCAGGAGTTCTAGTGAGAAGCAGTGACCAGTGGAGTTCAAACCACGTCTGTCGTGAGATATCAACTAACTGAAGACAATTGCTCAATTTCGTGGATCAGTTGAAGTTAGACAATAACACCGTTGGATGCCGGCTCAGTTGTCTATCGGTTAAGTGTTCTGGCTCAAGACTTGTAGGTCCTGGGTTCGAATCTCGCGAGTGCGGGATCGTGGATGTGCACTGCTGAGGAGTCCCATAATTGGACGATACGGCCGTCCAGTGCTTCCAAGTTTTCTGCGGTGGTCTAGCATCAATTGACTAATGCTTTCGACTATCGATCATATGGCCTGTTTCGATTATATGTTTGGCGATAGAGGAGGATGAATGTTTATTCTCTACTCTTATTGGGTCATTTGATTCTATTTGTTTCTGCAACCATTTAGGTACATGTTTTAAACGATGGATTTCTTATTCAATAACATTATCAGTTATTTTAATTAAACGATGGAAATGATCGGTTGTAAACTGAATCTCATATCTTTATTTAAAGAATTTCATATTGAGATGGTGGAGATTTATAGCTCTTGGATTCCAAGTATCTTGCTTAAACAACTGTTAATGAACACCTGTATCTTCTGGATGATGACCTTCGTAGTTTTCCACGTCTCCGCCCCATACAGTAGAACTGTCTTGATATTTGTATTGAAAATTCTGATTTTTTTGTTGGTTGACAGACAATTGTTTTAAGTTTCAGATGTTCTTCAGTTGTAAATATGTTGCTCTTACTTTGCCGATCCGCGTCTTCATATCTGCATCCGATCCACCATGTTCATCAATGATGCTGCTAAGATATGTAAAGTTTTACACATCCTCCAAAGCTTTTCCTTCAAGTGTAATTCAATTGGTGCATGCTGTATTGTATCGGAGAGCGATTAATATAAAAACAATAATTTGTATTAGGATAAATGATGACAAGCAGTTCCAATCCAGGACACATGTTTCGTCCTATTTGAGGCCCTTCGACATCAACTCGTACTCAACGCCATTTGCTTCAAACGCTATCGCGTTATCTGCTTATGGGAAGATTCAAACGAACAATACATAATGAATAAGTTGTGATCTTTGAATTATTCAGTAAGACAATTTGTTATACAAACTTTCAGTCTTATATTCATATAACTTCATATTGAAACTTTGGGAAAAAATTAATATTATTTGATATAACTTCTTTTTGGCAATGATAGATTTGAAATATCCTATTCCATGTTGTAAAATGGATGCCAAATTTGTTGTACTTGATCCAACATGTCCAGGAGAATTTAATAGTAAGAATTCAAATATTCATGAAGGTTGTTGGACAAAACTACGAAAGATAATTAGTTTCTATGGTGGTTTAATTATGATTTGTGGATTGATTGTCATTTTATTTCAAGTAAGTATTAAAATTGTATGATGAACAAGATAGAATTCAAAATAAGGCATTTTAATCACTGTATTAAACTGTAGTTATAATAAGAATTATAGATTAGTGATAAGTTGTTCAGTAATAGTAATTATGTCTTTTCTTTAATTCGGTGTTATATCTCGAACTTGAATTTCTTAGTCTGTCGCGTATTACTTGTGCACTCGAACTCTAGAACCCTCCAAGTCACAAATCAGAAGACAAATAGAAGGAATGTTATTCCAAACAGTGTCGATTATAGTAAAAAATTGTCAGGGAATTGTAGTTTTTTTAGTTGAAATGAAATCATCATTATAGTTAACCAATTCGTACACAGGGAATTATCAACATTGTCCAATAGGGAAGCTACACGCATTGATTCTAGAATATTCTTCCAAAAGCTGATTGGACGGAATATGTCCGGCTCTTTCTGGGTTTTTTAAAGCTTTCTTGAATTCACCTGTGGACCATCCTCACATTCGGAAACTATGATTTCTCAAATTTCAAACTTTTTCTACTCTTTCATTGAGATTTCAACAACTTGCCTACTTTGTCCTTTCGATTTAATTTTGATGAAGTGATATAGTAGCGAGTAAGCTAATCGAGTAATTTTCATTATGAAATGAAGTCATTTAAAGAAGCATTAATAAACACAGGGTAATGGAGAGCTATTTCACTTGTTCAATAATCTTGAATAGTGAAGAATGGTAAATATGGACGGCATCAAACAAAAATCATTTCAATCTTCAAATAGGTACCATACCAGTCAGTGGGAATACATTTTATTTTATAGTTGAAATTAACATGGAAAACCTGGATGCAATAAACGGCCGTTTCATAATATTGTGGAACAGTTCAGTAGTGCGCATTTTATCGTTGAAGACTTTGATTAAATTGTGGTTTATACTTCCTCTGTCAGTCATTGTCACCAGTGACCGTCAGTTAGATCGACTTCTATCTAAAAATTTTAACCTATTAGTTATTGAGCAAGTAATTTAAGAACACAAAACAACATCATCTCTATGTAACAAAGATGTATCACCTTATTGAAATATATAGAACCTTATGGTGATTTGGTTGAAATTGTTAGGTAAACTAGGAAACCAAAATTATTGTTTCTATGTGTTATGATTTGACCTAGGCTATAGCCAATTGTTATGACTTGATCAAGGTCGTCGCTGATTCGTTATGACCTTACGAACTTAACAAGGACGTAATTCTCGTAAATGATCCACCAATAGAATACGCCTTCTACGACCTTCACACTGTGACAATGACGTTCGATTAATATGAGTAATCTAGCGTCCTTATTGGTCCTTATCTGCCTACCCGTCCACTTGAGTCCAGAACACCAATAGCAGCTGCTGTAATGCGAATCGTTTATTTCAAGCATACTTTATCTATATACCAGACAGGCAGACCACACCACACCATAAAATAGAAAATAATATTCGTACAAAACCAGGCCAAATGAAGCTGTTAGTGTGGGAGACAATAATCAATAAAACTGAGCATAACGTAGGGACAGTAAATCATATAGTAATAATCAATAGGTCAAAATGAAGCTAGTAATAAGATGAATATAGATATAGATAATCCAGTTACTGAATAGTTATACCATAGGAATATAAATAGATTAATAGTCTAATAAGAGGTCCCGTAAGTTATCAGTACTTACTTTTTCCTAGTATATAACACCTCCCCTTTTTTGAAGCATCATGGATAATAGCGATCCTTGGGATTTATTTTTATACGATTAGGTTTCCGCCTGATGCGCTGCGACCGCCTTGGGAGTGTTGTACATATCTTCCTTTTATTCGGGTCCTTTTTAATTTCATTATCCGACTCGGTTAATATATTTAATGGTATATCATGCTTTCTATCACTTTCTATCTCCCACTCCTGTCTGGTCGGCTGTATCTGGTTTGCATGTCGTACCCATATCTTTTGTCCAACTTTCACTTCATAAATAACTTTCCCTTTTCTTCGGACTATGATGCCAAATTTCCAGGTTGGCTTTACTCCCTGGAAATCTCTTGCCATTACTGCTTGTCCTACATTAAACCTTCTGGGTAAGGCACCATGCCTTTTGTTAAATTGCAGTTCCATTCGTTTATTCTTGCATTGAATGACTTCAGGTTTTGGCTTCATTTGTTCCATAGGTATTCTAATCTTTCTTCCAAAAATTACTTCTGCCGGGCTTTCTTGATTATTTGTTGCTGGGTTGGGAGTTGCGCGGTAGCTTAGTAAAAATCGTTGAATTATATCTTCTATTTCTCCTTCCCCTTCGGCTTTAAGCAATGCTCTTTTAAAAGTGTCCACGAACCTTTCGACTAAGCCGTTAGACTGTGGATGGTATGGGGGTGTCTTGATATGCCTAATGGCATTGGCAATGCAGAACCTCGAAAATTCAGCAGAGGTAAACTGTGGTCCATTGTCTGACACCAATATATCTGGACACCCAAAACAACTGAATACTTGCCTCAGTTTCTTCACTGTAGCTTGTGTTGAGACATATTTCATATAGTGGACTTCTGGCCACTTAGAGAAAGCATCAATGATTATCAAGAACTGTTTACCGTTTATAGGACCAGCAAAATCTACATGAACTCTTGACCACGGATTTGATGGTGTTCCCCAACTCTGCATTTCGGTCTTGCGAGGGGCTTTCATGGCTTTTGCACATGCTGAACATTTTGCAACATATTCTTCAATCTGCGCATCAATATTCGGCCAATATACATAACCGCGTGCAAGTGCTTTCATCCGCGCTACCCCTGGGTGTGCAGCGTGCAGTTCTAACATCACCTTCCGGCGTAGGCTTGTGGGTACAATAACTCGATTTCCAAACATTAGGCACCCGTCCACGAGCGATAAGGAATTTCGTCGGTGAGCATACTGTTCAATGTTTTTGTTGTCTATATGAGAAGGCCAACCATGTTCAAGGTAACTTATAATCCGTTTCAGCTCGCCATCTTCTTGAGTGTAGCGTCTAATATCTTCAGCGGATAATGGTGTTGCTTTTATAGCAACTTGTAGTATTTGGTGGATATCTTCTTCCAATGATATCGTTGCAATAATAGAATCTTCACTTTCCTGCTTCTGATTCGCAATTAATCGAGATAAAACATCAGCTTGTCCAAACTTTTCAGTTGATTTATATAGAATTCGGAAATCATAAGCAAGTAGTGTAATAGCCCAGCGTTGTAATCGATTAGCTGTATATGCAGGAATACCTGACTTCGATCCAAATATAGATAAAAGCGGCTTGTGATCTGTTAGAAGAGTAAATCGACGTCCATAAATCATTTTATGAAATTTCTTTACTGCAAAAACTATAGCTAATCCTTCTTTTTCAATCTGACTATATTTTCGTTCAGCTGGGTTAAGTGTTCGGGATACATGAGCAATCGGCTTTTCTTTACCATCAGGAAAACGATGGCTGATAACAGCCCCAATTCCATAGTTGGAAGCATCAGCGGCAACAATTATTTCAAGCTTAGGATTGTAATAAGTCAACAATAATTTAGAAGATAAAATCCTTTTTATTTCGTCGAAAGAATATTGGCATTCTTTTGTCCAGTCCCATTTTGCATTAGCCATCAAAAGTTGATTTAACGGGTGTCTCAATTTATACATCTGGGGTACGAACATACTATAATATCCAATCATCCCCAAGAATGAACGGAGAGTTGTAACATCAGTTGGTGTGGGCATATTTTTGATGGCATTTATATTATCTGGATCTGGCCGGCGACCATCTTTATCAAATATATATCCAAGATATTTAACAGAATCTAGCATAAATTGACACTTTTCTTTTTGTAATTGAAAACCAGCTTGCGATATTCTATTAAACACTACGTCTAACCGACTCATTAGTTCGTGAGCAGAAGAGGCAACAACTATAATATCGTCCAAATAAACTGCCACACCTTCAAGGTTAGACAACATGGTATCCATAATCTGTTGGAAAATTGCTGGAGCTGGTTTTACGCCAAAAGGTAATCGGCTAAACTGGTAAAGTCCACGGTGGGTATTAATGGTTAATAACTCCCTCGAATCTTCGTCAACTTCTACTTGTAAGTAAGCTTCAGATAGATCGAGTTTGGAAAAGTAACGTCCACCGTTTAGTTTAATAAATAAATCTTCTGGCAAGGGAAGTGGATATGAGTGATTTTGTAAAGCATCGTTTAATCCTGTTGAAAAGTCTGCACACAAGCGAATAGTTCCGTTTGCTTTCTGCACTACTACTATTGGTGCTGCCCATGCTGAATAATTAACCGGTTGTATTACACCCAGTTTTTCTAGTCGATCTAACTCCTTGTCAACTTTATCGGTGGCTGCATACGGGACTTGGCGTTTTGGACAAAAAACAGGTTTTACATCCTGTCGTAAATATAACTTTGCCTTTCCAATGGTACAGCATCCCAATTTATTCTGGAACAACTTCTTGTGTTTCTGTAAGAGGTCTTCTATCGTTATGGCTTTCTTAGCTACATGAACCATGGGTAGATCTCTGGGACTATTTGTGCACTTCATCATGCATATTTCACTCAATGGTACATCCCATAGGTTTAGTTTATCTATCCAATCTATTCCAATAAGGTCTAAGTCATGCCTGTTCGTTAAATAACAATTCCCTGTGAAGTAGTTATCTCGAAATTCAACAGAGCATTTTATAATTCCAACAAGCTTTAATATATCTCCGGATGCATTTCGTGCAGTATGCTCAGTAGGTAATACTTGTGGACAACCAATTAAATTCCATGTTCGTTTAGAGATCAATGTGATATCTGACGCTGTATCCAATTGTAATCGGACATGAACACCATTAACCAATAATTCCACATACCTTCTTTTATCTGCCATACTTAAAGCTCGTGTAGAATATATACTGTTAATATATTTGTTTTGAAACTGGTGAGGACGCTTCGTAGGCTTTGATCTCAAATTTTCTCTTGTCCGGCAAACTGATTCTTTATGACCAA